AGAATATTTTGTTAAAGTTTCTAGGCATGATGTTGGTTTGTCCTCTTTAAAAAAAAATAAAATAGGAGCGTAGATTTTGAATTTACGGAGTAGAGGTACACATATTGGTACTCGATTTATTTGAACGTCAGTAGACAGTACGATTTACTTATGGATTAAATATTTTTGGAAATAACTGATATATCGTTCGGAAGAATTTTGTTAAGTTTTAATCGTATTGTGACAGGGAAGTATTGGTGCGAAGTGTGGACAAAATATCGCATAACTAAGATCGAGACCTTGGAATGATAAGACATTTCCCTTTTAACACTTTTGCAGAGGGTTAAACCGTTAAATGGTATGGACAGCGATGAGGACATTTAATAGAATAAGCCTATCTATGGAGAGGTTAGAGAGACCTTAAGCGGCTTTAGGGTTTAATGGAGTCTTCAGAGTATTTACCTCTTTCCTGGATGTTGTCAAATTTCGCATCATAAAACATTCATTTTTGAGGAAATTCATGAGTATTTTTTTTTTTTAAATTTTTGGATTGTGTAGATTAAATTGCAAAAATTAAACTCTCTGAAAAATTGGGCGAAAAAATCAGAGGATTTTTGAAAATTCCAGTTTCCCAGGGGATTTCTGGTGAGGTCTGAGATATTATACGCCGTTTTTCCTTGGCGTTGCAGATAGGGAGGACATGATGCGCGAAACTCCAAACTCACCTCATAAAAGCCTCGGAAATGGGATAACCCATTTGAGATTCATTTTGGAGGAAATTCATGAGTATTTTTCCTTGAAATTTTTGAATCATATAGATCAAATCGCAAATTAAATTCCCTAAAAAATTTGGCTAAAAATAACCAACAGATTTTTTGAAAATTGTACATTACCAAAAGAATTCTGGCGAGGTCTGAGAGGTCATACGGCATTTTTCCTTCGCGTTACGGATAGGGAGGACATCTGCCGTGCTAAGGAAGAACGCCGTATGAACATTCGAGAGTTGCCAAATTTCCTTCGATGAAATGTTTATTATTGAGGAAAATTATGAATAGTTTTCCTTGACATTTTCTGAAGTTTTAGATTAAATTACAAACAAAAATATCTGAGAAATTGGCAGAAAAATATTCAAAAATCTCCCTGAAAATTAGTGATTTGCCGGGGGAAATTTGGCAACGCCTGAAGGCTCATACGGCGTTTTTCCTTAGCACGGCAGACATGGTGCGCAAATCGTCAAACTCACCTCATAAAAGCCTCCCTCGGAAGTGGGATAACTCGTTAGGAGAGTTGGTGAATTGGCGGGATCAGGAATTTAAATACTCGACGCTAACCGCATCCTATGCAGATTCACTCGCCATAAACCGAGCTCAGACCGATGAGAACGAATTTAATCACGCCTAAGCCCTGCGCGGCGCACACTGGATCGCGTCAACATGAGAGGTCGGACAAAATTTGGAAACTTTAAAAGCTTAAAACGCCGTATATACAGAATTTTGAAGTTCTAAAAGTGGTTTCCTGGGTTTTCTCGTGAAATGGAGATGTTGCAGGTGTGAGGAATTTCCGATTTGACTGTTGGTTCGTATGCAAAAGTTCGCGAGGAACACGATGGTGCCACTGGTATTCTCTGAAATCATCTCCCAAGCTCAAAAAAAGCTCTCAAGTTGAGGCCAAAATAGAGGGGATATCCCACCCTACCCTTAGAGTCCACGTCTACATCAAGACAAACTCTCCAAGCAAAGATAGGGAGCAAATACATTGACAGGGCTGCCACTTTATTTGGGGACTCCAAAACTGAAAACACGGCATCACTGCTAATGTATTTGCTCCCTATCTTTGCATGGAGAGTTTGTTTTGATGTAGAGGTAAACTCTCAGGGTAGGGCGGGATATCCCCTCCATCTTGGCCTCGTTTTGAGAGCTTTTTTTGAGCTTGGGAGATGATTTCAGAGAAAACCAGTGGCACCATCATGCTTTTCGTGAACTTTTACATAAGAGACAGCAGTCAAATCGCAAATTCCTCACACATGCAACATCTCCATTTGGAAACTTAAAAAGCTTAAAACGCCGTTTATACAAAACTTTGAGGTTCTAAAAATGGTTTCATGGGTTTCCTCGTAAAATTATCCTCTAGAAGAACCCCTTGAAATTTAAAATGTGGGGAAATAAACATCAAAATGTTTCATGTCCGACCTCTCTGATTAACTCGATCCATTGTGCGGCGTTGGAATCAATTTGGCCCGTGATTTGCATGCATTTAAAATTGATTCCTGTGCTCCAATTGAATCTTCCTAGTGTGTTTGCATTCCACCCTTTGTCGGTCCTTACTCTTTTATGGAAACTATGTTCTTTAGTTGTAGACAAACGACTCTTATTGACTTTAAGATCTGCCTTCAATATGGAAAGAGCTAAAATCGTGTGTTTTTACAGCATGGCGCACTAAACAGGGTCAGAATTAAGACATCACAAGACATGTTCTCTAGTCTTAGACAAACGACTCTTACAATTAAGATCTGTCTTCAGTGTGGAAAGAGCTAAACTCGTGTGGTTTTACAGCATGGCGCACTAAACAGGGTCAGAATTAAAACATCACAAGACATGTGTTCTTATGAAAATGTCATTTCGTGTCAAAGCTATATTCCGTATACTTATGATGTTACATTTTGGACAAACGACAATGAGATAAAACGAGAAATTCTGTGTCGGAGTCTAAATAGCGCCCAAAAACTTCGAATGATATGAATGCAAAGTCAGTGGCGAAGCGCTAACGATCGAATATCGATATGTCCCCATTTGAAGCTATGGTGGATAATCGATTATTAAGGTGTTCGTTGCAAACGCCCTATTTATCGATCCTTTTCCATGTATTTCAGTCGCAGATCAATCGATGTATCGTAAAGCACGCCACACCAAGAGGAGCCTTACGGAATAACTTATACTATTCCGACGGGGAATCTACTCTTTTTGTGGAGTGTCATACGCTTTTATGCTGCAAATTTCATATCATTCGAGGTTTTTGGGTGTTGCATGGACTCTTGCACCGAATTTCACCTCTGAATTTTTATAAGTGTACCTCCGGAGAGCACGTTACATTCGCGTTCAGTGGTGGTAACAGTAACTTGGAACCCGAAATGGGGGACTCGGAAGACGAGGCGCATAAGTGCAGTTTTTGCTATTTCGAGAAATGCGTGTTAGAAGTTTTCAAATTACATGGATCCCTGTGGCGGAAAGGAAGTTCCAACTGACTTTACCCACCTAGGAATTATATTGACACTTATATCGTTGAAAGCAAAACATAATTGTACTGAATGAAATACGCAAATTCTATTCATAATGCTCTATTCTATTTGAGGGGCTTGGAGGACAAGGCGCACAAGTGCAGTTTTTGCTATTTCGAGAAATACGTGTTTGAAGTTTTGAAATTACATGGATCCTCATGGCAGAAAGGAAGTTCAAACTGACTTTTTGATGCTTAAAAATTGGAATTTGTGAGCGAATTTTTCACAGAATATGCATTAAGACTAGTTTTCCTTGCAATCATCAATATCTCAATTTGTTCGAAATCTGCATTTATGCGCCTTATCCTCCAAGCCCCTGAAATCAAGACGTTACAGTTGTGGATGTGAGAGTGGCAACCCGCACTCGATATCGGTTTGCCGCCTGTCATTACAAAGCACCGGAGCCGCAGCACCTGCTCCCGCAAGTAAACAATGATTATTGATGATTATCGTCGTGCCAGAGCTGTACCGTACCCGTACCGCCAACTTAATCTCAGCCCTTTCACGCAGCAACTTCTGTTCAACCCCCGGGGCTCATGTGCTCCCGGCGTAACTCTATCTGAAAGCATGCGCTGAAGCTGTTTCCAACTCTGCCTTGTTACCGATGAAAGCTGTGATGTTCAAAAATCAAGTTTTCTGCTAAATTCTATCAATCTAATTTGAAGGGTCTGGAGGTCCATGTGCATGGGTTAAGTTTTTGAAGTGGGGGTATTGATGATTTCAACCAAAACTAGTCTTTAAGGTGATTCGATGGACACCATATTTTGTGTCAGAGCGGCGTGCGATATATCGCATCAATTAGTTCCATTTTTTCAGCTACTCGTCATTTTCTTCCAATTTAGAGATTGCAATTCTGTTGTCAGGAGACTAAAGCACTCACTTACCAATTTTTACAAACAAATTCAACGTGATAAAGACATGGTTTTTTCAGCGAGAAAACATCGCATTCGATACTGATATCGAAACTGCACTCGAATGCGATATTTTCTCTCTTAAAAAAACCACGCCTTATTACGTTGAATTTCTTTGTTAAAATTGGTAAGTGAGTGCTTTAGTCTCCTGACAACAGAATTACGATCTCGAAATTGGAGAAAAATGACGAGTAGCTGAAAAAATGGAACCAATTGTTGCGATATATCGCATGCCGTTCTGACACGAAATATTTCGTCCATCGAATCACCTTAAGGTCGGAGTGTAAAAAACCTCGGTTGGATGGACCGAACTTTGACTCAAAAAGCACATGACTGATGACTGATAAACATGATGAGACGAAGTTCGGTTCTTACGACCGGAGGCTTCGATTACTTGCACCGGAAACATTGGTATTCTATACGAACCAAAGTTAGATTTTTTGTGTTCTTCGTCTTTGTGTGTTTTCGTGCGAAAGTTTGCATTCTTAAGTTTATTTTATGGTTGACAGGCCCCATGACCTGCATTACGCAAAAAAAACCACAAAATGAATCTGGATGGTTTCTCTTCACGCTATGACGTTTCTTCCAGATGCGCATTGCTCAAGTTTGAGCGAATCATGTCCTTTACGCTTGACTTCAGTGCGTCTTTCACTTGGACATATTTCTGCCGAACGGAACTATATGCATTATGCCATGGGCCCTGAGACCCATAAGAATATATGCATAACAAGGCTCACGTCATAATGCACATAGCTTAGTTTGGCAGAAATACGTCCACTGTTATGAGTTATAGGTATATAAAGCTCACGGTAATGCTCCATTCTATCATCAGTCATAATCGTGCCTCAAAACAGACTTCATCTAGCCTAGTTCGTCAAAATGGTCTACAAGGTAAGCTTAGCATTCTCTGAATCATTTAAAGTTTGGTACTTGGGAATAATATGTCTTAAAACTTGTAAACATAGCACTGTTTGTTTGATGCTTCAGTATTCGCGGAGTTGTAGTCAATTAGTGAGAAATAGAACTCCCGACCTTTAACATTACTCTCACCCGCTTTGATCGCGCAGACAGTTGGACGTATTTCTGCCGAACGGAATACTATGTGCATTATGCCATGAGTCCTGTTGTGCATACATTTTTATGGGTCTCAGAGATCATGACTGAATGCGCATAGTTCTCTTTGGCAGAAATACGTCCAGTTCTTTCAGGAACTATTTTTAGGGTTACCACAAAATTCAGAAAATGAATTTCCCTGACATTCCCCTGATTTCCCTAACACATTTGAGTTAAATTTCCTTACAATAGAAGATATGCCACGAGGCCCAAAAGACATAATTTGAAATAGCTCTCAGGTAAAATTTGGTGTTCTAAACGTCAAATGCATTCAAGAGAGCTATAAAAGGTAAATTAACAATTTTCCCCTAACATTTCCAGGTTTTCCCTGATTTTTTAAAATTCCCTGACATTCCTCGGTTTTCCTAGTATTTCCCAACTGTGGCAACCCTGATATTTGGTGTACCACAGATTTTAAGCAAAAACACGCAATTAACGCTTATTGTTATCTTCCGTGACAGTTCTGCATCTTGGCTGCCCTTGCAACCGTGGCTAGCTGCGGTTACGCTAGCTCCTCAGCATACGTGAAGGCAGCTCCATCACATGTACATGCACCGGCGACATCTTACGGAAGTTACGGCCACGGTACGGAGTCTTACGGTCAAGAGTCATACCACGACACGCACCCCAGCTACAAATTCGAGTACAGCGTCCACGATCCTCACACCCACGACGTGAAGGCACAAGCTGAGTCCCGAGACGGTCACAACGTCAAGGGCTTCTACTCCCTTTACGAGGCTGACGGCAGCAAGCGAGTCGTCCATTACGCTGACAACGGACACGGCTTCGAGGCTACCGTTCACAAGGAGGGTGGTCAACACCTCATCTCCGCCCCCGTCAACTACTCGCCTATCTACCGCGCTGCTCCAGTCTACGAAAAGCTTGTCTGAAACCTCCTGGTCATTTCACTAACGAGCTCATTCCCTTCTTTCCCACCTGTCTCTGGTTCTGTTTGGCAGAAAAACCTCCATATAAAAGTTTTAAAAATAAGACTTCCAACTGTACAAGAGGATTGAATCACTAAAGTTTTGAGCTATGAAAACTAAAATGTTCACCCTTTCAAATTATAAAATGATTAATTAAAATTTCTAATGAAACTGATAGCACTTGATTCTAATACCTCATCCTCAGCAAACGTTTGAAATTACAAACGAAGCAATTGCACTATAAACAGAAGTCCATATCGTTTATTGCCTACACCTCTCTGTAATGTGTAACAGCCGTGTTTGCGGGTCGAACAGGCATTGCTCCTGTCCTTGCTGAACAAGGCTTCTCTAGTGCTTGCTATACAGCCATGCTAAGGAAAAACGCCGCATGAGCCTCAAGACGCTGCCAGATTTCCTTTAGAAAATCACGAATTTTTGGGGAAATTTGTAAATATGTTTCTTCCAATTTTTCAGACAACTTTGTTCGCAATTTCACCTAGAGTTCAAGAAAATTTCTAGGGAAAACATTCATAGCTTTCCTCGAAAATAAACATTTTATCGAAGGAAATTTGGCAACTCTCGAATGTTCATACGGCGTTTTCCCTTAGCACGGCAGTATACGCCCTGGCTTACGCGTCACCCCTCCACCTGGAGCCCTTCCGTATCCCGCCCCCCCCTTCGCCAGATGCATACGTCTCATTCAGCCCTGGGGATTCCGGGACCTAGATTCCAGTAGCGTGGCGTGCTTTGCGATATATCGATTGTTATGCCCTTTAAACCTATGGAAAAGGATCGATAAACAGGGTGTTCGCAGCGAACACCTTAATAATCGATTCTTAACCATAGGTTTAAATGGCATAACAATCGATATATCGCAATTCGCGCCACGCCACTGCTAGATTCCTTTGATCGGCGCAACTAACGAATGTTAACGGCAAAGCTTACCGACTTAGTTCAACATTGGAGCAATTTCCTGCGTCACACTTGCATCACACCGTAGAACAGCGGCGTGGCATGCTTTGCGATGCATCGATTTCAGTATATTCCATTTAAACCTATGGCAAATAATCCATTATTAAGGTGTTCGCTGCGAGCACTCTGTTTATCGATCCTTTTCCATAGGTTTAAATGACATAACGATCGATATATCGCAAAGCACGCCACGTCACTGCCATAGAACCTTTCGTCATTTGAATAAATTTGCACCACCAAGAGGAATCACTACTCTGCCGTGCTAAGGAAAACCGCCGTATGAACTGCTTTCAGTAATTTACGCGTTTTAATGAGCTCATTTGGCTTCAAAAAGAGGTCACTATGCAGGAGAGGTAGACTAGAATGTAGGCGCGGAGAAGTCGCGAAAAAATCAGATGGGGTCGGAAATTTTGAAACGTTGCAAGGCGATTGTAATACTCGGCCGGAAGATGGCGATGACCTTTTCTAGAATTGATGAATTTACAAAACTTAAAATATAATTGGCAATTTGGCAACTCTAAAGCGGCGGGATGAAAGATGGAAAGCTGTAGACAGTAGACAGGCTCGCAAGTGGAAGGAAACTGGAGAGGTAATTTTCCGGGGCGCCGGGCGGGTCACACGAGCTGGCATATCACGCCTGACTCTCGATATAAAAATAATATTTTAGTATAGTCTTGCTTGGATGAAGCCATACTCGCACATCAATTCAAATAAGTTGTGATGCTTCGGAAGACGCTCTTACCGGGAGGGGCGGGGGCGTGGAGGTGTTTCCTCTATCTCTCGCCTGTAAAACTCTATCAGTTTGATGAGAATTTTGCGAGAGCACTCCCGAGCCCAGAGCCTTGAAGAGGCACCCGGGTGAGAAATTTTCAGAGATGAATATGTTCAACGGGATAGGTCGAAACAAAGTGAATCTTCATTTTTGACGGATACATTCTACCGTGCTAAGGAGGAACGCCGTATAAACATTCGAGAGTTGCCAAAATTCCCCAAATAAAACGTGTATTTTTGAGGAAAGTCATGCGTATTTTTCCTCAAAATGTTCAGATATTTTAGATTCAATTTGGAATACAATTGTCTGAAAAATTGGAGGAGAAATATTTAGAATTTTCCCAGTAAATTCGTCGGTTATGAAAGGAAATATGGCAACGCCTGGAGGCTCATACAACTTTATTCCTTAGCTTGGTAGTATTTTTTGTTAGGATCAGGCACCCGCTCTCGGAGGTCGTCATATATGTCAGGCAGCCTTCGGAATTCCTTTATTAAAACAGTAGGGGACTCTGCCCCCTGGCTGCTACGCGGCCCAACCCCCGGGGTGCTGCGTGCCCCAAAGATCGCTTCGCGGCCAGCGAAATCGTCGAAATCGCCTGCTGGCGGGTAATGAGCAAATAATTTTAATTTAATAATAAAACAATGTTTTGAAGAAAGATTTCTCGTCAAACAATATTCTTAATGACTTTCTCCTTTCTCTAAATTTTGATTCCTTTTTTGGGAGTCGACTTTGACAGGGTCACATATAGTTGTCCATGACTAAACAAATGACATGACTAGGGAAGTGTCGCGCATAGCGCAACGATATTTTTCATAGAGTGTTTCCACCTCTCTTACTCCCATGTTTTCGCTCTCACTCTATGAATCCTAAATTTTGAGCCACCAGCAAGCTTCACTTACTCGTTGGCGTGATCAATCGACCGCATCTTTCTGTATATGTTGTTTAATCTCTGCGGCAGTTAGGAGGATGAGGTGATAATCCTTTATGCGTGAGCGAAGTGGCTTGGAGCTCCTAGGAGACGCCACTTCGGTTTTACATTTCCACCTAGCAGCGCCAACCTCTTGTGCTCCCAAAGAAACTCATACCATTTGTTACGATCCCAGTCTTCATAAAAAGCAAAAGTCAGACAGCGTTTTTCAATAATTTTTTCAACCTGCTCTCCCACTTTGACAGATATTTCAACCCATCGTCTGCAACAATGGTGACATCCTACCAAAAACTCCATGTTTCAATCACCGATCGTAACCCGGTGCCGCACCTGATGTGACATGGTCCCGAAACCCTCTTTCCAGCTTTGGTCCGTCGGTTTGAACTTCGTGTACTCTTCAATTTGCGGTGATTTTTGTTTAGAGTCAAGTGATATCAAACAGCTATGAAATACTCAACTTTTTTTCACCTTTGATTTTTAAAGGATATTCGCGTAATTTTGAAGTTTCTGGCTTTTCGAAATATTTTCAACATTTTAAAATGTTCATTCATTCTACTGACTTTTGCCATTTTCTAATTTTTCTCGAACTTTTACGCTATTCTCTTTCTTAATCATTAAATTAAGTACTAGTAGTTATACGTTTTAGGACAATTGGATTGACATCCTTGTAGGGGTGGTTGTACATTTTTGATAAGTTAATAAAAAAAAATAATTAAAAAACCCCCTTTCAAAGCCGACGATCTCTGATACCTTTTGAAGGCGACGGTGAATGATTTGAACAAACTAGATAAGATGCGACGACAAGCATTTGAGAACCACGAGATGAAGAAGAAAATGAAGGAAGAGGAGAGGATAAATACAATAGGAAGCGAACAAAGGGAAAGCTACTACACTCACAAAAACAAATAGGCAGAAATTCATCGTCGACGAGAAGAGCAAGTTCGGCCCCCTGGAAGTGAGGGACAATTAAAATATTTTTTAAGCGTGCCAGTAGGGCTCGCTTTTTGAAATCACTCGGATGTACCATAGTACAGCACACAGATCAACCAATGCTATTCAACGGGTCGTCCAAATACTTTTTTCCTCGCACCCGTTTCTTCGTCTTTGAACCATTACACTGTCAAGCCCTGATGGTCTTTTACCAAAAAATCTAATGAACTGCTAATTGGAAACCCTTGAGAATATTTTTCTGTCAAAACCGTATTATTCAATTTGACAGAAACCTCATAGGAGCTTTCTTACGCTCGGAGGACTCAACTCTAGAACCTTCTTTCCCGCCAAAACTCTATAGCCAATGAGCGTCTTGCACTGTAAGTGCAACCTGTGATGAGCCTCGTGACTCATTATACTATGTACTAACCATGGCCCCTGCCGAAATCCACTTAAACCACTACAGTTATCTCCCGATATAGCTTTGGGTGTCAGGTTTCGAGCAAGGCAACAAAAGACGGCGAGGCGATTAACCGATTAACCATTCACCGTGATGCCAGGATCCACCAAATTTTCTCAAAAATTGATTTCCGTCTATTTAGCGAGTTTTTCTTTACTTTCTGTTGAAGTACAAATAAAAAGAGACCTCATTTGTACGAATCGGCCGAATAGGATAGAAGTTACAGTTAGAAATCCAAAGAGATTAACTCAACGCGATTTCGATGCACGGCAGTTCGCCCAAATCACGGTCGTGCGAAAATGCCGCATATCAGCTTAAAATCAAGATAATTGGACGGAATCTTTAAAATTAATTTACATTCAACGTTCATGAATCAGTATTTTCTCCCAAATTTAGCAAAAAGTACCGATTGATGCAAAAAGCAAAGACGTGAAAATAAGAGGTATTTGTCCAACATTTCAGTTATTCGGCACGCTTTTCCAACATACTCATGTTGGATTTTTTCTTCTTGTTTTTTTATTCATTCATTTATTTGTCACATAAAAAGGGGTACACAGGATCATTTTCTGACAATGAAAATACAGCCCTCTTGATCACAGAAAATAGTACGGCGTAAGAACGGAGAAATCGCAAATGAATAATCAAAATCAGGTTTGATAGCAGACGAAGTGGATAAACTGAAACCCGAGTTACGATCAAAACTGAACGAGAGAAAACCAGCTGAAATTGATCGATTACTTTCTCGATGGCAAGAACTCGCAAAAATTACCGATCGTGAGTTAGAAAGCATCGTCCGTCAGACGGAATCAACGATTTTTAACAGTGTAGAGTGGAAGATACGGTCAAAAGAAAGAAAAGGCCAGAATATAGCTTGATCAAAGATTAAAATTATTGATGCAGGCAGAGGTTTTATTTGGCCAGGACTTCCTGCATCTGAGGGAGGTTCAAGACATGTTGGAGACTCCGGAAATTGCCGGTTGGCA